CGCTCGATCGCCGCTCGTTAATCGTAATCCAACGAGCAGCCCGAGTAATTCACTGGATTTTTACGAGCCGACGGGTACGAAGCGCGGCGGTACCTTTGAAAATCTCACGGAGCCCGAGCCAGCCCGAGACGAGCGGTCGGTTAAGTGTAATTTGTACAGGATCTCTCAAGAGGTGAGAGAAGTTCGCGGTCAAGGCTCCTCCGTTCAAGTCATTGACATCGGGGCTCGCTAGCACGAACAGACTGATGTTGCCCATTACATCGGCCGGCTAATAAAACGGCCAAGAAATTCGTCGTACCCGGCCGTCTCATTGTCGCTCGTGAATAACTGCATCCCCACCGTTTATATCCCTCTTCTTCTCTGCGCCGCGCCAACGAAAACAGGTATTATTCTACGCGCCGCACGCAGCTTCGTCGCGCACCTGTTCTCGAATTCGACGCTACCGCCTGCGTCCGTTTTCGATGGTTTCCGATGCTTTTCGAGCTTGCCTTTCCTCGATTTCGACCATTCTCCGGTTCACCTCCTTCCGATTCCTTTCGTTTTCTGTCATCTTCAATCTCGCCTCTCCTCGTTTCCTCTACTCTTCCATTTCGCCTTTCCCCGCTTCTCGTTCCCTTCGCTACTCCCCTGAATCGGCATTGTGTAGATTGTAACCTTCAAACTAGCCATTGCACGATATACTCGTTTTCTCGAGTGTTTCGTAGACTAAAATTCGACGATACCGAAACACACGCGCGTAAGATTCTCGAGCACGCGAAAATCGACGTAGCCGACAGTGACGATACCGAAGTCTCCCTTTCCTATCTCCCCAGAGAACTCCAGAAGCCATCAAACAACAAGAACGGGCAGACCCCGCAAAAACGGTAACTTACTTATCGGTGCACCTCCTGAAACGCCGAAAGCATAATAAAGTTTCTTCGCGAAGTTCCGCTTCCACTTAACAGGCAGATATCGGTTTTACGATTATGATCGGCAGACGGCCGAGTCACGGTTGCCACGGAAAATATTCCTTATCCCCGGTTGAACTTTTGAAACGAGTAAACCGTGACGGGGCGCCGATCGCTTCTCGAAATAGAGATAAAGGTAACGGCACCGTGTTTCGCGGACCGTCGGAGTTCCGCGTCTATCGGCCATAATGGCGGCCGGCCGCGCGAAACTCGCGTCGATTCCTTTTCAATACGCTCCCCCCGTTTCGATTCTCGTTCTCCTTTTTTCCCTGTTATTCTCTTATTCGTTTCCCTTCTCTCTCTCACCCTATCTCTCTCTCTCCGTCGGTCCAGCGGCCGGACGAAATCTATTATCCCCGATGACTGTTGTTTCTCGAGGATTTCTGCGAATGCCGCCGGTGAACGAACGCGCGGCGCGCTCGTCCGCGTTACGCACCTATGGCGGCTACGTGGCGAACCATCGTCCGCAGGTGCACCGTCACAGCCGCGTCGTTACTCTTATTATTCCCCGCCATCTGCCGCGACGCGGAGATACCGATCGTTACGTTGCTATCTTGGACGTGTCGCGCGCGCGTTTCGACTACCTTAAACACCGGAAGCGATTACGAGGCGTCAAATCGCTAATGTTTCTCTTGTTACGTGGCCGGCGTCCCCCGTCGATCGGAAGATCGACGCGCGTGACGGTTATTTAATCGGCGAGCGACTTATTCGCAGGTCGGCCGTCGGGTCGAGGTTATTTTTATCGCACCTCGCCGGCGAGACTTTCTTTGGAATCCTCGAACTCGCGTGCACGCCGATGCGACGCGATAGGAGTGGTCTAGGTTTTTTCGTTCGGGACCGGTAGGCATGCTTCTCCGCAAGAATTTCTATGCATCCGAGATGCGCGAGTTACTGTTATTGGAACACGGTCGTTTAGATTTCTGTAATCTGGAAGCGACTGACTGAGGCGCTACGGAATTTATTATTCTCCGTCAACTACTATCGAGCGGTTGGAGTGACTTTTCGAAAGCGTCTTAGGAAAATGGGAAACATCGTGTTCCTCGAGATTACAAATGCATTGGAGATTCTGTTTTATAATTTTCCGTAAAAGCTTCACGGTTTTGATCGTGGTGAAACGATCGTTTTCAGACGGATCACTTCGATCGGTCTGGTAGTTCCGATGTTAATAGGTTCCTAGTTACGTTAGGTACCCACAAATCTCGCGTAACCATCGTAAATTAGAGATAATACGAAACGATGGGTTGTTACGCGGAACTTTATTACAGAAAAATTCACAGTTTAATTAATCGGGCACTGTAAGGACTGGTAGTTCTACTTGCTGATTAGTCGGCTGCCTTTCGCATCCGCTCGGCGGGGTACCGTCGGTTTTCAATCGACGGAAGAAGCAATTAGCCCGGGGGACATGTTTTTCAATATTCTGGCAAAATCAACGGGTGCATTTAATATTCATGGTGGATGATGTCGTGTACATCTTGAAACAATGTCAAGACGACAGGTAGAAGGTGAGCGGCGTGGCGCGGCGGACATGGTATTGCCAGAGGTCCACGGTGTCCCAGCATTAGCTATGCGCGACGCGGAGGCGTCACTTCCTCCGGACCGACTTCCGGCCGCCGGAAACGTCCTTCTAACCGCGGCTGAATCCTTAAATGAAGACGATCTCTGACAAGGCCTTTCTCCTTCACGGTGCAACCGGCCAGCGACACTTCAACGTGCAGCATCGACGTGCGAACCGTCGGGGGAATTCTAAGAGTGCTTCCCAGAAATCAACCCTTTCGGTGAACACTTCGCTGGTAACGACGTGGTCGGTGCAGACCAGTTTGTCGGGGAAATTGTATTTTATTCGTTAATTCGTAAATTCTATGAATATAGCGATCCCTGTATTAATTCGTAGGAATTGATACAAATTAATGTGGATGAATTGGTAACTTTATTGTCCATGATTTTCGTAAAAATTCTACGAATATAGCGATCCCTGTATTAATTTGTAGGAATTGATACGAATTAATGTGGATAAGATGAATTGGTAACTTCATTGTCCATGATTTTCGTAAAAATTCTACGAATATAGCGATCCCTGTATTACTTTGTAGGAATTGATATAAATTAATGTGGATGAATTGGTAACTTTATTGTCTATGATTTTCGTAAACACTCGAATATAGTACTCTCTATATTAATTTGTGTAAATTCATACAATTTAATATAGATAAATCGATAATGTTAGTCACCGTCCATGAAGAAATAATTATAAACTTGTAGAATCTAAAAATTGGAAATAATTCTACGAAGATTCTGTTTTTCTCTGAGTGTTCTTCATTTTTATTGAGTATACATTGTATTTTCTCAAAGAAATTGTAAGTGTATATAAAGACCGTGAAACTGAAATATTACATAATTAAAACATTCGTTTAATTGCGGTTCGTGTCGAGATAAAATCTATCCAAATATGAAATATATTTCATCATGCAAGTCGGTGCTCCGCAAGTTTCCCGTGAAACTGAGGGAAGACTTTAGCCGGAGGTGATATTTCAATAGTTAAAGATAACGACGGACGTGTGCACAGTAAAAACCGACGCAGGGGTCTCCGCCAACTGAAATGAATGACAGTAACGAGTAACGCGAGAACTTGCAACGCTATCGTTCATCAGTGTCCAAGGAATTTATGTTCGGATAATAGATAACGGATGATAATGGCGAGCAAAGTTTGATTCACTGCTAATGAATAGGCGATCGCTCAAATGAGGATTTATTCGGGCAATACTTCATCCGTTGTTCAAAGTTTACATATTACTTTATCATTTTCGTCGTGCCGGGTCGTCGGATGAATGTTTCAAACGTCGGATCTGAAAGTTAAATCAATAACCGCAGGGAATTATTCACGTCTTTACTATAATCGATTATTCATTATCGTCTAAATCAAGGACTCGACTAACAAGAATCTGTTCGATTAATCATCTGAAACGAACGCACGGTTGCTAAGAGAGCTTAACCCTTCGCGGAAGGAGATTCTTTAATGATGTGCTACAATCATTTAAAGATTCTTTAAGATTCAATTACTCGAACAGCAAGAGATCAGTGTATAGTCTCCTTTCTTCCTATTGTTCAAGCATTTGATGTATAATTTAGCTTCATTCGTCGCAAGTTTCGCTTTAAAGTCTTCGTCCAAAGCATCTTATCCAAACGAATCTAAATCACATACAATACCCGAAAAACAAAGTAAAATATACCAATCTCTATCCAAGTAAATCACTTCTCCCCTTTATTCCAAAAACAACAGTTCAAAGTCTCCAAAACACGTCGACGTTTTGGCGAAATCGAACGATCGTATTTGGAACAACAAACGAATGATTTCATGCATCGAACAGCAAGAGATCGGTGTTCAGTCTCCTCTTCCAATATCATTCAAGCATTTCGTACAAAATCTATCATTTGCTAGTTTCCTATATTCCCATGAATCTCCTACCCCAAAAAAGGATTAACCTTTGCACTGAAGAATATTTTTCTCAACAAATATTCCTTATTTTCTGATGAAATATCAACGATACGTTTTACAACTAACATAAAGAAATACCTAGTACAAATTAAGTGACAGAACTAGTTTATTCCAATGTTCCATGTGTCGATGCATTATATAAAATTTGATATTGAATTCTAAATCATTTTGTTCGGTCAAATGAAATGATTGAAAGGCGCCGCTCGAGTGCAAAGGGCCAAAACCCGCCCCATTCCCCATAGACAGCTCATCGATGGAACTAGCGAGAGCCTAGGAAAACCGGGTACAAAGATCACTGTTAGAGTCACCAGTATACAGCACAGTTCTTCAATGTATTCACGCAGCAGCCGAACAACAAAGGCTCCTCGATCGTTCCGCGGCGGCCGTCCAATTACTTATCGGCACCGGCCGTTGCGTGTACCCGTCCCGCGATAAAAACACATGATATTTATCGGCTCGGTGGGTCGCCTCGCTGCTCGGACATTGTAATACCCTCCGTCCTTTCCACGAACGGTTACGAGAGTGCGAGTTAACGAGTATATTTTCCCGATTGATTACAGTAATCGATACGGATTAACTAACGAGGACCTGAACAGACGGTGGAGCAACCCGAACCGGGTGCTCCATCCGGTGATCTACCACACGAAGGGCCTGATGGAGTACTGCACGAGGGTGCTGCAGCGGCCTCCCCATGTTTTCGTCGACTATCACGGCCATTCACGGAGGAAGAACGTGTTTCTCTTCGGTTGCTCAAGGTCGGGTTCTTGGAGCGCCGCGGACAGGGCGAAACCGGACCAGCCGGTGCAGTATTTGGTAAGGGACGAAAGAGGATCAGGCTAGGTGTATTATTTTTAGATCGCACGCGTTGCGCGCCGCAGACGACCACCTCGCGCCGCGCGCACCGACCGACGAACGGTTCATCTAGCGCGATCTGCCGAACGCGATTTACGATCGATTAAACGGCCGGCCCCGCGATCGCCGTCTTTAGTGGCTGTAATTACGGGGAATGCTCCGTTCGTTCGTTCGACTAATTTCCAGTGGCCGGTTCTGCGGGTTTCGCCGACGTTCCACCGACTTATTCGAGGATTCGTTCTATCGGCGACCGGGGAACTTAGGAACAGTTCATTTGCTTAATTATTTCAGTTCGGTGAGGATTTGATGAGACGATGTAGGACGCTCTTACCGAATGAGTGTCTATCAACCCTGTTCAAACTTCCGAAAGTGTTGACTATTGACAAAAAGCCAGATGCATCGAAGTTCCAAACGCTAGAAGCGAGAAGCTATCAATCTGTCATTTGGATAACTATATTCTTCATTTGCAGCTTTCAATTTTACATATCGAACCTCGAAGTCTCCGTCATAGCGACACTCGAACGGTTAACCCCTTGCCTATATAAGAAAGTCAAGTATAAAGTTCAGATAGTCGACCTCGAAATAATATACGGAATCCTAGGCGAGAAGCTACATCAATCTGTCGTCACTTAGATAACTAAATTCTTCATTTGCAGTTTTCAATTTTACATATCGAACCTCGAAGTCTCCGTCATCACTCGAACAGAAGGGGTTAAACCCTTGCCTATATGAGAAAGTCAAGTATAAAGTTCAGACAGTTGACCTCGAAATAATATAGGGAATCGAGAGACTCGATCGTAGAGTGATTGGCTCGCGATTTACGATAGCCAGAGACACCGGATAGCTCGCCAGTTTCGAGGCTCGTTTCAGTTTCCACGGGGAGAGGTTTAAAGATCGAAAGTGCACTCGCGAGAGAATCCCCGCGAGAACGAAAGCGGCGAACGTAGATCGCGTGCGTGCGAGCGAGCGAGCCCCGCAGTGATGCATCTGCGTTTCAGATGTTGCCGCACCTCATGCAAAGGATATCCCCGGCGTTCGCGTTGCCACTGTGCTCGTTCAAGGTCGAGAGGAACAAGGAGTCCACCGCCAGGGTAGCCATATGGCGGCAGCTAGGCGTTTCGAGGTACGTCTCGCAACGATTCCGCGATAGACACGCTCTCATCCCCGTTCGAGCGTTGCTTCACGCGACGCTGATTTAACCCCTCGCCTTCGAACAACGCGTCGGACTCGCGGCGAGGAGTTTAACCCTTTGCACTCGAGCGGTGACTCTCAGTCACCATTCGATTTGACACAGTAAAATTAGAAAATTTAATATTTGATATTGAACTATGTATAATGCATCGGGAAATATTGGGATAAATAAGCTTTGTTTCTCAATCTACCTGTGATTTCTCTTTGAATTCGTTTTAAGAAACATCGTCTTTGTCTAGTTAGAAAATGTTAGTATTGCTAACGAAATACTTCCGAGTGCAAAGGGTTAACACTAGATACCGTACCAGTCAGGATGACTGGTTTCGATGTTTTTGTTCAGCAGTTATTGATATCTTCAAAGCATTGAATATTCGAAATGGTTTTGAAAATAGTTTCATTTGAGTACTATAATGAATGTCTGAAGAAACTGAAAATAGTCTATTGTTACAGGTTTTATAGGAATTGCATATTATTCGTATTAAATGCTCGGTAGTTCTAGTGTTAAACAGAATTTAACAAGCGTGAATAATATTCGATTCTTGTGAATTTGAATAGAACGTTCGTCTGTTATCCATTATTAGAATTTAGAGGAGACATAGACAGTGCCCAGAATTTTCCTTTCTTTAAGAGATCATCAATGGCAAAGTAGTTGTATTCGTAATTGTATCGCAAATTCTTTTAAACAAGGATTGAAAAGGCTGCGGAAGTAACTGTTCGAAACGGTTGTGTATCGGTTTCGGCTGATACAGTTATGGAGAGCCGAAATGAAATGCTAACTGTTATTCGTAACTGTTTCGAGAACCGAAACCGATACCATTACTGCTTCCCAACCTCTGATTTTAATGAAACGGATGGATTCGTTCTAACGTTAACATCATCTCTCAGCATTTTTTCAATGAAATTCCTGCTTGCAGAAGCTACACGATGGAGACCAGCTTCTGCGGATGCGACCAGGGAGCGTTGGCTGGCTTGCATCTCGACACGAAACACCTGAAAGCGGTCGGCCAGGATTTCTGTCAGGCATTGTCGATGATGAACGAGTGCAGCCACGATTGGGGAATTGATAAGTACGTTGAGAAACGAGGTAGTCTTGGTTACGACCGTTCTTTTATGCATATGCTAATGATCTTTACGACTGTTGGCGCTAGAACTACCAGGCTTCTGAGAAATTGTTGAACAAATTAATTTAGTAACAGCTAAATTGAAATATAAGTAAACTAAGATATCGATAAACAAAAAATTCGGCTCGATTGCTTGGTGATTCTAGCGTTGATTCCAGGACTATAATTTATTGGGCACAGAGACGTAAATAACACATGATTCGTGAAGATTCGAATGATACTGTTTATTAAAGAAGATACTTTCCAATAGAAATGTCACGCATCTTGTTTCCGACTCGATGATTCACGATTTTAACGGAACGAACAATGTTACAGCTGATTGAAGTCACGAGCTTGAGATTTCGGGAATGGCACAAATTTATTGATCATTGAGCTTGCCCGTTGCGATTTGTAGAGTCGATTTCGAGCTGCGCTGTCGTTTCGAGTGACGAGTAATGCGGATGAAAACGTGTTCTTGAGTGCAGGTCGCTGGAGGAAGCATGCTGTCCACGGAAATGCGTTTCCGAGAATTCGAAAAAGATTCAGAAATGCATTCAGGACAGACCGGCGCTGTTCCATACCGCCGCGATTCCTTAGCGAACGAATCTGTAGACGATTTAAGGCAAGACCGTCTTACCTTTCCAAGGAAGACTTTAGTAACCGAGTTCTCACTTGAAACCACTAACAGACGCGAAAGTCTATGCTCCTTGAATAACTCGATAACCGAGAAACAATGAAATACTAACATCCTTTCTCTAACGTTGCGCATGCTACGATTTTACCTGAGGCACGTCCAATTAATCTTCGCTAGATTGCGGATTCTATCATATCGGAATAAACAACGTTTATTTCACGTTAGTTTATCAGTTTTCTGAAGTAACGACTGTTCTAAATTCTCGTGTATACTCCATGAAAATCAACATTGCAATTTAACACTTTGGCAAGCAAGCATTCATCGAGACTTCTATGCGTCGAAACAGTTTTCTTAATAAAGCAGAAATTAGAAAGTCGAGATTCTTTAGAACGATTGCTCTAATATCTTGTATCTGATACACCAGATAATATTCGGTTCTTTCGATACGCTACAAAAAGAATTGCGTTACCTGAATTCGAGTGACAAAGCGTTAAAGCTATCGCATCACTTTCAGCTGCACTTTCAGATGCGACATTTTTCTAGTTGATATGCTGTTTTCCCCAGAAAACCGTCGTTAAACAATGAATATCCGCAATCTAGTAATCCCAATGATTCCTTGTTATCGACTGAACCTGAACTCGTTGAGCATAATCTTCCTGAATATCTCAAACACGCTTGAAGTTTCTATGTTTCTTCGTTAAAGTTCCAGCGAATTGCGGCGCAGCTGCGACGAGCGGATTCATATTTGAATTCCGGTTCCAGGATCCCAATGGGAGAAGGCATTTCCGAGGAATCAGGATGTATGGGCGGCGAGATATCGTCCAGCTGCGAATTAGAGGAGTCCGAGTGCGAGGCGTAGAAGGAAGACCGCGACATGTCCGCGCGGCGCATCGTTCGCACGGCCGGAACGACGCTGTACAGGTTAATCGTCCCGAAATAAAACAAGTGCTACGGGTATTCTGTACACTTTGATGGATTTTTATTTAAAACTCGTAACAAATATCAAGCTAATCCCCTACCGAATATAATTTATCCTACCTAGAACCGAAGCCTCGTCTTTTATACGCTTCGTAAATGAACTTCGCGTCGCGTGTGTCTGTTTTCGCTGGATGTCTCCGCTGTCGTTTCTCGAAATCGGAACTTCCGTTCTATTTTTGAGCATCGTGGACGCAAGGTTTCGAAACCGACGCGAATCAGTTACGATTCTTCTGTGATTCGATGAATTATTGCGCAAGAAACCGGGATCAAGCGACCTGAACAACCGAATAGAAGACTCGAAAGGAGACTCGAGTCCCGGTCGAACGACTCGCATCGTTTCAAACCGGGTCGACGCTCCTTTCTGCGAACGTATGGTAACCCTTTCGCCTTTTACTGAAACATGCTACATCCTCGGCTTAACAGATGCGTCGAAAAACGAATTCTTATCGAGACACGCGTGTCACGCGCGGTAAATTTGGAATCTTAAGGTAAGAGAATCTTCTTCTTTTCAACGGCGGATCGAGTAACTTTCGATGGAATTCATTGTAACGGAAAGATAGGAATCAAAGATTCGATCAGCGAAAGGGTAAAACGCGAGTGAAACAGTATTGAACTTCGAGAGGTGCAAAGTGAACGGGTGATCGTAAAAATTTGCTCCAAGTTCGCAGAAACTCCGACCCTCGCGCACCGTTCGTCGCAATTTCATCGTTCCTTGCCAATTATACTTGAAACACTATTAATCCGTCGTTAAAATCGAGTTGCAAATGAATTTTCTCATCGAATCGAACGCGAATGTCCAATGGAAACCATCGAATTTCAGAATTCGCGGTCGCCGGAACGGTGCGCGGGGGTGAAACACGCGACCCTACGATCTACGAGTAAATCCGTTGAATAAATTCGAAGCATACACGCACTTGCTCGGCTTACAATCGACGCTTAATTAAGTCAGTCTTCTACAAGGTTGTCAACACAGAGATCGCCGCGCGTGTTCCGCCGAATTCGGTTCGAGCCGGCGCGCGCTCGCGTCTCCGACTGCAAGCTGATCGAAAGCGGGCGCGTGTGAACGGTGGCCGATGCGTTTCGCAGAATCTCGGACAGGGTGGAATCGGAATTATCCTATCGGGCGGAGCCGCGGGAGTTCAGCAAAGGGTGCAAGCTCGATTTCTGGTCGTGTGCGCGCGACGAGTTGAATGTTCGGAAACTGAAGGAAAAATGCGCGGATGGTTTTGCACGGTTTAAGCTGGAAACTGTCTTCGTGGTAGCGATGAGAAAACGAGTCGTGTGTAAAAGTTCTACCTTCGACGTTAGAAACGTGTAAAATCGAAGTATCGTATGTACGCGTACAAATGTTCAGTCGATCTATCGCGGAGATCCTCGAGGGGCGCGTCGAAGGATGGTTGGACCAGCGGTCTAAGGATCTAGAAAAACGGCGGATCACGTCAATCCCCGTGCAACTGGCGTCCCGTCCGAATGCTAAAAACGTTCGATTAAAATCTTAACGCCGACGTGTATAACACTACTGGTCAAAAATTTCGAATCGAACACACTGCTCGGCGATTAGTCGGTGGAGTACGGTCGAGTTCCCTTCGAACTCGTGGCTAACACGTTGAATGCACGATTTCGCGTAGCAAAATAGACAAAATGAAAGCAACGTAACATCGAATGGTTTCGTTGAATCGTTTTATTACTACTGCAGGCTCATCTTGCCGAATGTCGCAGCGTTAGACAGCATTACTCGTGATATAAAAATATTTGCAAATACTGATCGTTTAATTGACTGAATTACAATAATTCGATCTGATCGGGGATCACCGGTGACTCCCGTGGCATTCAACGAGTTAATATTTAAAAAAACGGCCTTTGAAACGGTTAATTCTCATTCGTAGGAAATCAGTAACATATATTCAAACCGATTTCGTTTGAAACTTTCGGCCGGTAGCGTGCGTTTCGAAATTTGTCGATCAGGAACGTGGATTTGCTTAAAAACCGGTGAAGCGTTCCTCGGCGCTTCACCCGCTAATTCATTCACACTACGATACGTTCCATTAGGGGGTGAGTAATATTCAATCCAAGAGCGTCGTCCTAGTCCGCAGTTTCTGTTGAGAACCGGAGGCAGTCGAATGAACAATCAACTAATAATGTAGAGTCAACGTAGAACTCGGTCAACAAGGATCGCGTTTCCCGATAAATCAAATCGTTTGTATCGGTCTAATCGTTAACGAGTATCGGCGATTTACGAAACACGGATTTCGCGAGAGTCGTGGACCAAACTAGAGCGTTTCGAAACGACGCAAATGAAAAAGCAGCGTTGGATATTCCGTCGATATACGAAACGAAGGCTTGAGGCAAGAGAAATGATCGGCGTTTCGATGCCGGAGTCGATCGGCAGAGCCTCGAGAGGCGAGACCGAGGTTCGATTAAAATTGTGCCCTGTGCAACGTTAATTGACCCGAAACCAGATGCCGCGAACGATCCGATCGCGTTCATCGAAAAAACGTTTATTACCCGGCCACGACGGAGAAACTAATTACGAACGTCCGCGCGTGTGTAACTTAAGGTTAATCGATTACAATTCTAATCAGCGGAGGATCCTCGTGCAGCTCGGTGGGCCGGCGACGGCCGCGTGGAACGATTTGATCGGAGTCTAGGAAAATCGGGAAATCATTCGGAACACGATTGCAGGTTTCATGTGTACTCCTCAACAGATCCTCGACATCGTCAAATGCTGGAGCCTTATTGTCGGTCTGGCGTTACGTCGTATCGTTAATAATACAGATTCGAAAACTTCGTCTGTCCTCCTGTTTTTGTTTCTTTTTCTTACGTTTTCTTCGTTTCCTATTGTCTACGAGTGTTGCCACTAACACTGACTTACGTAGCCGAAAATGTTTCGTTATGCGTTACCGAGAGATTCCTAGGATATAGATCGCGCGCGCATTCCGTCGGACGGAGATTCGGGACGAACGGACGCGTGCCGGTTGAATCGTTTCGAATAGTCGCAGGATAATCGAGTACCTTTGGAAACCGCTATTGAGAAACTTCGTTTACACTCTAGTTTATAAATGAATTACTTTAATCGTCCCTCGGACGCGCGCAACGTTAGCTTAACGTATTCGCACACCTCGGCCGTTGACAAGCGGAAGGGTTGCAAACTTTCAACCTGCGTTGCGTCCGTTCGTTCACCTGTTCCTCCGTTTTCGTTTAGCAAACGTTCCGATTTCCAGTTGGATGCGATTTTCGAATTTAGTTGAGACTTTGTGGTACCGATTTTCGACTGACAAGAGATATCGTCGAATGCGCGCACGCTCGCGTCTACGGAGAAGAAAGTAAAGGGTACAACGATGGATGGGAGAACTGGCTGCCGTCACTTGCAACCAAGTCAAGCGTTAAATAGTAAATAAAGTGCGCTTCAATCCTCTGACACGTCAACCTAGGGGTATCGTAAAGGGAAAAGAATGGTTTCGTCTATCGTACGACCGGTTCACGCTACCGGAGTCTGTTTTCTCGATGGGGAGGCTCCTCTACGGATGCACAGGCAAGAATTCTACGAGGAATCGTTACACACGAACACGTATCGGGAAGAAAAGCGGAATCTTAGGCGGGCTGCGTGCAGATTCTCGTTTGAGCGTCAGAGTTTGTTAGAGACTTGACGCGCAATCCAACGATCGTCGCTGAAGTATAGTAGAAACGTCGAATGAACGCGTGCGATGCACTGCTCGAACAAAAGTGGAGGATCAAGATCATTTCAGTAAACATCTGTTTCTCAAGATGCAACTAATGTAGTGAACAAAATCCGAAAGAAAGAACAATCGTTCGAACGTTTCGTCGACTTTGGAATAAAGGAAACTCACGTGACATAAAAGTATTCAAAAATATAGATTTCAGCATAATTTCAGTACAAAGTACGACGTGTAAAGAATATTACTTTATCGGATAGGGTAGAAATCGGATCTTCTCTTCAACAAAGGAATAAAACCGGAACATCAGCGATAAAAAGTAAACAGTAATTTCGAAGTCTCGCAAACAGGAAATAAGTGAGAAATATAATTTCCAATACAAGAAATATCTAGTCGATTCTCATTTCTATGTCATTTACTCTACGATCCGATTCACTCTACCCTATATTTCGTTCCTCGACGTTCGCGGAGAATGCATCGCGAAGAATAAACGATCGCTGGATGAAAGGGCGAGCGACGGCAGGCGAGGGTCCCGCCACGAACAACACGGAACTCTAGAGAATACTCGAAGAACACTCTCCCATCCCTACGCTACAGCGGTACAGAGTACAGATCAAGAAGCTGCGATTGGATTCGATTAAATGTGAATCCGACGGGTGTGCTGTCGGTCGGTCGATTCACTGGTCGTCGATCTTCTTCGCCAAGTGGATCTTGAACTGCTCGTAGGTGATCCAGAGGATGATGTTCCAGGACACGAGGCGCGTGAAGCTGGGCACGAAGCCTTTGTAGAAAGCCGACGGGCCCTCTTTGCGGAACATGCGCACCGCGCATTCCCTGACGCCCTTGTACTCGCCCGGGGACGAGTTCATGTAGCGCGTCTTCACCACGTCCACAGGACTAGCGACCAGCGTGGTGCAGAGTCCTGCGGCGACCGCGGCCGTCACGTGGCAGGGGATCCCGTCCCGCATGTACCCCGAGTCGAGGATCTTGTCCTTGATGCTGTCGTAGCAGACGATCTCCGCCACGTTCACGATCGCGTTCCTCGACACGTTGGGCATTGTCCCTGGATCGACGAGAGCGCGGTTAGACTTTCGCGTTTATCGCGATAAAGGATCATTCTTTAGGTTATGAGTGTTGCCGAGGGTTATCGCTGGATGGTTGATTATGGAAACTGGAGAGACTGTCTCTGTTAATCAGTTAACTGTGTTTGACGAGTACACTTCATCGTAAAGCTTGATACTAATTCTTTCAGCGACGAATTCTTGATTTTTTCACATAAACATGTGATTCTTTGATTCGCTTTGATCTTTCATTCAAATATACTCTACGTGCATTCGTCCTGCGTTCGACGAGTACACGCTCTATTTTTCGATTTTCCAAAATTCCACAGTCAACTGGTTAATGAGTTCTGCGTTAGACATGATTTCTTTTGGAAACGTCTAGGATGGAACAGTTGAAACAAGGAGCTGCTCTTGGAGAGTCTTACGTTGGCATGAGAGATCGGTTATTTTCAAGGTTTCAAGCATTGAAGGGTAGCGTGTGATTTTGACTTTAGAGTTCAGTGATCTTTTAGGTACTAGGATTGAGTAAACAATGCTAGCAACGAATAGTTTGCAAGGTGCAGAGGTCCCTCGTTAGCCAAGCATTGGTTCAAAAGTGAAGAGAGATAAGTGGACTGTTCCACTCGCAACATTCGACTGTCTAAATCCCATTATTCGCTAACGTGACACCTCCACTGTCGTCCGTTGCAGCGAACCTGGCACTCTCGTCTAAGTGGTCAGACTCGAAGGCGCACGCCGGACTGGCCGAGGCGTTCTCGGAGCGACTCGCGATTGGAGGTCTCGGAGCGACTGTCTCCGCCCCTATGCGTCGCGAGTGCCAAGTTCCCTGCAACTGGCGGTACCTTAGCCCGCGCTGAAAATCGCACCTTTCCAAAGGCCCCGCGTCCCTTCCTCGGCAACGATGTTCTTGTACGCCTGCAGGGTCGAGCTGTATCTCGTCGATGATCGTCCGCTACCGGCGGCCTGCAGGCGGACCTTGACGACGTCGGTCGGCTGAGCAAGGAGCACCGCCAGTGCGCCGGTGGTGATACCAGCGGCGATTCGCACGTAAATGTTCTGCGCTCCGCTTCTGTTATTACCTGTTGAGACAAAAGTCCACGATGTAAACGGGC